GGAGGAGGGAGGAGGAGGGAGGAGTAGGAGGAGGAGGAGGAGGAGGAGGAGGAGGAGGAGGAGGAGGAAGAAGACCAGCTTGGGGCCAGGCGGAGGCCCTGCCGCCCCGCCGCCGTGGCCCACCGTCGCCTGCCGACAAAGGCCAGGCGCCAGTCCCCCGCGCATGACCCGCACCGAGGTGGCCTCCGACCTCGGGGCTCGACCTACAGTATTCGGCCTGACCCAAGGAACGATACAGAAGGAACGAAGCCCCTTTTTTCCAAGTAAGCCTAGGAAGTCCGACGGAAAACCAGGGGGCTCGCCGCCAAAAAGGTAGCGGAACGCATGCAAACCAAAGGAACGACCGAGCCCCTTTTGAAAAGCAAGTGTTCCCTATTCAAGCCGGAACATGTAGGCAGTGCTTCTCGCTCTCGTTTTGTCTTCGCTTTCCCTCGTCTTCGCTTTGTCGTAGGTCCGGCTCTGCTGCACAGCGACATCGGAACCGAAAACGGCAGGGCTCGACCTATAAACAGTGCTTCTCGTTCTCGTCTTGTTTTCGCTTTCCCTCGTTCGGTCCGAAGGCCGCCTTTACTGCACACCGACATCGAAACGAAAACGGCCCACGAAATCGCCGAAACACCGCTTAGGTCCACCCCTGTCCGACCTCAACCTCCTGGCGGTCCGTGGCCATTTTGGCTCAAGTCCGTAGCGTGAGGCTCAGGACGAAAGTTGTCCTTTGGCAAGGGGACTTGCGGCCCCACCCGTTCGCGGAGGCAACACCTCCGACCACTTTCCTCGTAACGCATCGCGATTTCATTCCGCGCGACCTCTGATCAAGATTACTTCACGGTCATGGGGCCACCTGCCATGCAGGGGGCCGTTCTCCCAGGGCCAAAATATCCAGTGTGGGGGTGTGGGCGTTGCGGATCGGCGCTCCAGTGGGCTTCCAGAGTGGCGTGCCAGTGTGGAAATCCCGCCCCCCTCCAGATAGGTCAGCAGAAGACTAAGGAGGCAGCAGCAGAAGCAGCAGTGGCAGCAGGTAAAGCCAGGGGCAAAGGCAAAGATGTGTCAGGCGATCGTGACACATAATCCAATGCTCGAGGAAAAGGAGATGCCACCCGACTCCAGAAGATGGAGCAGCAGATGGCTCAGTTGCTGCAGGCCTTCCAGAAGCCCCCCGGCTGCGACAGGGACCGCATCTACAGGTGCCCCCCGCCATGACTTCGCACAGATGAGGGCAAAGGCACGCAGGCAGACTCGTCCCTAGAGGATGAGCACGTAAGCGATGAGATCAAGCGTGACAAACTCATGCTGGACGTCACGGAACTTGAGGAGGACGCCAAGCGCCTCAAGGATCCAGAGTTACGCGAACCAACCAGTGAGAAGATATCGACGTTGCGATCTGAACGCAACAAAATCCGATACCCCACTGCGGCGCACGGAGGGGCCTCCCAGGATCTTTCTCGTGCGAAGAGCAGTTTGGAGAAACTGGAGCAGGCGTTGGCTGAGAAGCGCAAGCAGCTGGAGGGCTTCAGGGAGTCCATCCGCAAGCGCGAAGGTGAGCCCGCTGCCAGGAAGATCAGGGTGGCGCAGCTCGAGATCGAACCCGCCGAGGCGGCCGGGCAGCTCACGCCCGGCAGAGGTGCCGAGGCGGCTGCTCCGCCCGATGTGTCCCCGCTCTTCGAGCTCAAGCCTGAAGACATACCCAACGACCTGGCGGGCTACCTTCCGCGTGAGCAGTGGACCAAGTTGCGCGAGCCCGTCACCAGCAGGCCGCCGCGCTGCCTCGCAAAGGGGGACGTGGGTCCCGACCAGAAGCCTCATGGTGATGGCGAAGGTGACAAAGCCGATGGCGATGCCATCACTGAATCGGCCCCTTTCAGGGATGGAGGCGTCAAACGAGAGTTCGTTGTTTGGGATGAGAAGGAGCAGCAGCAGCAGCAGCAGCAGCAGCAGCAGCAGCAGCAGCAGCAGCAGCAGCAGCAGCAGCAGCTCTCCACTCTGGTCAATGATCCACATGCTTTCAAGGAACAGCTCGCTGAGATGCAGTCTAAGCAGGCGAAGCGTTCCGAATGAGTGCGAATTGGCACATTGGAGTGATTGTGTTTCCTCGACGACAACTGCGGCGACGGCAAGGAAAGCGGGAAATTTGTCGACCTTGCGGCCCTGGCTCCTTCCTGAGAAAACTGAAACCTAACCCCAGATCAATCTTAGTACGGTACCACGGTCTATGCTGTGCCCTGGCCGTGGTACCCGCAGCAAGGGATCCTGGGCTGCGGAATCGCTGCAGGGATGCGAGCCGAGTTCACGTCCATCCTCCACTTCGGTTGCGGCGACGGCAGGGATCTCGGGCGCGTCGTCGACCTTGCGGCCGTGGCTCTCCCCTGAGAAAGCTGAGAGCCCAGCCCCAGACGAAACCTAATGCGGTCCCACGGTTTTATGCCGTGCCCTGGCCGTGGCGCCCGCAGCAGGGGGCCCTGGGCTGCGGCATCGCTGGAGGGATGCGAGCCGAAGTCACGCCCATCATCCACTTCGGCTGCACCGCCTGGCGCGCGGGCTGTGGGCACAGTGGCGACGAGTCAGATCAGTGTACCATCCCGTTGCCGCGTGTCTCAGGATGCAGATGCACTCATCACGGCGCAGTTCCGGATGCACCAGAAAGTGAGGCCGCAGGAGTCAGCACGTTCGAGACGTTCAGCGCCAACGGCGGGGAAAAGACGGTGAAGAAGCCTGTGGAGAAGACCACGGCTGCAATTGGTCCGACGCAGGAGCTCGGCGACATCGATATCCACCTCGAGGCTCCCGGTTCCTGGTGTGCTGCGCGAGGTTGGCAGACAAGAGCGAGGGCAGCCTCCCTCCACGGCTGCAGGGGGCACAGCGCGTCTGCCGAGCCCGCGGTGCTTCTGAGGTCAGGGCACGGTCTCCGTCCACCCGAACTTGGAGCTGAACGCGTTCTGCCCCACCGCCGCCAGCGAGTTGAGGTGGATCTGCCAGGCTGGCCTGCCATCACGGTCTTCACAACGGCTGCCTCGACCCGAGCGCGGGCCCAGGCGCTGCCGGTGCCCCGATGCTAGCTGCGCCAGGTCAGAGCATGCTCACGGTGAAGAGACCTGCCGTCGTGGCAGGGGACTGGAACCTGAACCCCGAAATGTTGGAGTCGTCTGAATATCCGCTCCTGGCTGATGTGCGTGTTCTGGCGCCCGTGATGCCAGCGTGCAGAGGGGGCAACTGGTTTCACCATGATCGGCTTGTTCTGCTGCAGCGATGTGCTCACGAGAGGTTTCAAAACGCTCACGGTCGACATGCGCTGGACGGTCTGACCTTGCAGGCCCATCCGCCTAGCAATAACTGATAACAGCCTCAGGCTTCGCCACCTCGTGTCAGAGTGAGGGGGCCGAACCATCGTTCACTGTCCCTGGGTGCGTGGCTGAGATGGGATTCCGCGATGCGGACTATTGTTGTTGTTTGTTTGTTTGTTTGTTTGTTTGATTGATTGATTGTTTGGTTGTTTGAATGGTTGTTTGTTTGTTTGATTATTTGTTTGTTTGTTTGTTGTATGGCGTCGTCCCCCACGCGACCCAGCCCGCGCCCCACTCGCAATTCACCCCGCGACCCACCCGCGACCCACCCCGCGACCCACCCCGCGAACCACCGCGCGACCCGCCTGCGACCCACCCCGCGACCCGCCTGCGACCCACCCGCGACCCGCCAGCGACCCACCCGCGACCCACCCGCGACATGGCCCGCGACCCGGCCCGCGACCCACCCGCGACCTATTCGCGACCCACCCGCGACCCACCCGCGACCCACCCCGCGACCCACCCACAGTGCTTTAACGAAGAATCGGCGCCTGCGGCGGACTCGTTGTATAATGTGTATAAACTAGACGCCTGCGACTCGCAAACTGCCGACGTCCCCGCCGCCCCCATCACTCTTATCCACGACTTCGGGGTGCTAAGTACTCTGTCACCCCACCGCTGCCCAAGGAGTTCCCCATTGGGCCAAGCCCTGCC